AGCTTGCCTCCACCAGTGTGTGAATGTGAGAGTGAATGAATAGTGGCATTGTAAAGCGCTTTGGGTGCCTTGAAAAGCGCTATATAAATCCAATCCATTATTATTATTATTATTGGCAGCGCAGCTTAAAAGGTATGTGAGAGGAAGAATAATTTGCAGACACAAATGATTATACGGAAGTAAAACTTGACACAGAGAGTAACACTCACCAAAACTAAACAGGAAGAGAGACACAACTGAACAGGAACAAGAAAGACAAAAAGACCTGCACAAAGACGAGGCTGAAGGAACAGAATGGGAACGCTAAAGGGAACCAATAAACCTAGAGTCACCTTTAACTAAACTAAGATCTAGAGAAAATAAGGAAACATTACAAAGCACCAGAAAATAACAAAACTCGCGAGCACAAAGAAATGCAAAATAACCCTATAACAGAAACTATGAAATGATAGAGAACATGAACTTCAGCACTTCTCAAAATCCAAAAGGAAACAATGAACTAACACAGAACACAATGAACACACAAAACACACAAAATGAAAGATGATTCTTCTCTGAAGCCCATGTCCCTTGAAAGGCTAATTAAATCCTGCTATCCTGGTATATAAATGAGCTGTTAGTTAAATGTGCATTTGTCACATAAAGAAAACTTAATGTAAATTATAAATGTCAAGACAATGATCATACTAAAGTTGACTATTAGGCTTTTCCTCATGATCATATACTGTTTCAGTGTTCAGTCCAAATATTGGAAAACCAATCCTAGCAAGAGAGGAGCAGAGGCGCTGCACCAAACCCTCAGCAAGATAAAGAAGCTTCTTTTTTTAACTGTGAGTCATGTAAAGCTGCTCTAGCCAACAATAAAAATATGGATATCTCATTTAAGGATAAGCCCTCACTCTGATATCATAATTAATGTTTTCTGCTGCCAGGTAAACAATCAAGCCTGGCCAAGAAAGGCAAATGTCATCAGATTACTGTTGCAAGTCTGAGGTAAAGACTACTTTTCAAATTTACAGATAAAAGTTATGGATTTATAATTACTCAGCATTTTATCTTATAGCTCCATTTGCCCATAAATCACTTTTTTTTAACATCTCTGACGTGTGTTTTCCTGAAAGGTTTAAAAAATTCTGGAAATCACTTCCCAAACTCATCGATGAAAACATTTAGTCTTCATGTTATTCATTCCAAACAAAGAAGCAAACTCGTGACAAAAGAAAAAAAAAGAAAGCCAGTGCTCTATTAGCTCAAACAGAATTTCATTACTCGGGGTCCTCGCTCTGCCTTTGATGTCACCGTTTGACCCATCATCACATAATCCCAACAGAGGGTTTGTCTAAAGTGATTGCTGCTCCTCTTTTCCTTGTTCAGTTCAGATGATGAGATTAGGGAGATTCCTGGCAGATGGGATTTCCACTGTGCGTGTGTCGACGCTGCACCTCACGGCACTTCCTGTCAGAATTGCTGAGCGTAGGGTGGCGTGGGCTGGCAAGTGGACAGGAAGTGTTGTGCTGTCGGTCTGAGCCAGCAGGGGGAAATATGGTCAAATATGGTCTGTCTTATCAATAATGAGTAGGTGGAAGCGGTTAGATCAAATTACCAATTTAGAACTAATCACCAAAGTGGTGGCTGGTATTTGCTTTATCCCCTCTCCCACTCTGCTTTGTCCTCTCTCTGGTGGTTCCTGTCGCCATCTGTCTGTCTTTCTCAGGGGAGCTCTTCCTTTTCTCCCTAGCACCACACTGGATGTTTTATTAACTCTGTTTTACCTGATTACACCCCGTCTGCGAGTCAGTGTGCATTAATAGGCATTTAATCAGCGTTTAATTAAGGGAGCAGGAATCTAACAGTGAGCTGGGTGCTCGTGAGGTCAGCACCAAGGACACAAATTACCCAGAACAATCCATGTATCTTACGGAGGTAAACAAGCAACCATTAGGGTGGTGGTACATGAACAAACCTTAGAATAAAAATCAGACTAAAGGTTTCTGGCACAATTTCTAGTAATATATTAGAAGTGTTGAAGGGTATTTTTCATGACAATCGTCTTTTTTACATATGCAGAAATACTTTATGGTGTCAAGCTTTCAGTTTGGTATCAGTCTTTTCCTTTTCACACAGACTGCTAAAGCATGACTGGTCAATAACTTGAAGGCTACAAGTGGATGTCCAGATGAACAGAATCGACCTTTTGGCAGAAAGCTTCCAGTACAAAAAGTCTTTATACAGATTCTGTATTTGAGTAATAGGAAAAAGAAAGTAGGCTTTAGGGATCAGGGCATGATAAAAAAATAATCTGGTCCTCAGCAGGCCTTATAATTAATTAAATACACCCTCAAATGAGTATAAATCTAAGTATACCCTAACTGCTTCCACTGGAATAATCTGATCTGAATAACTGATCATCAGCAAGTGTGAGCACCTCACATTTTGGCAGTTTTCCGGTGTGCATTAACACAATATCAAGGAGACATCAGCAATGCTCTTAGGGAACTGTTGCTGCCCATTATAAATAATTGGGAAAGGTTATAACGTCATTTAAAAACAATCTGAAGTCCATCATTCTTCAATTAAAAAGATTATTCACAAGTGGAAAACATGACAGTTTCCAATCTTTCCAGGAAATTCACCCCAGGCTTAGAGCCTGAGTAACGCTCATAGAAACTGCAAAAAGCCCAAGAGCTACAACTCAGACTACACAAGCCTCAGTTAACATGTTAAAGGTTAAAGTTTATGACAGCACAATTAGAAAAAGACTGGGCAAATATGGTTTGTTTGGTCTCCAGGAGATAGTGTCTTCTCTTGAAAAAGAACACGGCAACATGACGCAGGTTTGCAAATCTTCAGCTTTCAGCAACAACACAAGACATACTGCACAGCTCCATATCAACACACAACTAAGTATACCCCAACTGCTTCCATGGGAATTAAGAAGCCAAACACCTCATACCAGCCGTCAGCATGGTGGTGGAGGTATGATGGTTTGGGCTTGTTTTGCAAACACAGAACCTGGGCACCTTGCAGTCAATGAGTCACCATGAACTCTTCTGTAGTCAGATGTGAGTCCGTCTGTCAGCAGCTAAAGTTTGGTTAAAATCAGAATCAGAACACTTTATTGAACTCAGAGGAAAATATGTTTGTAAAACAGGGTCATGTAACAAGTTCGTGATCCGAAGCACTGCAGCAACAACAGAATAAAGGTGTTGCAATGGCCCAGTCCAAGTCCAGATCTAAACCTGATTAAAACTGCTTTAGCGGGACCCTGATAGAGCTGTGTATAAACAAATGCCCTCAAACCTCAATGAACTGAAATAAAGTTGTAAAAAAAAGTAATATTGGGCAGTCTCGGTTCATTCGACCTGTCTTTGCATAAACTGCAAACCCAGACAGTCTTACTGTATTGTATTTTAACTTAAACACTACTGCTGTTTGTAGCATTATGAGCATTACAAGCAATTTGTTTCATATTACTGCACTGTTTTCATGTTTGAATCATATTCCTCTTGTTAGTCACAATGCTTTTCCTGTTCTCACTCTTCATAAATAATGCTGTTTGACCAGTTCAGTAGTAACATGACAAGTATTTTCTTGCTGTCCGTCCTAATCCTGGCTACAGAAACATTTTTTTTTCTTAAAGCCAGAACATTTTAAGGCTTGGTGATGTAAACAATTACACATACTACTCTTATCTGTCAGAGAAGTCTGCTGATGACCATAAGAGCAGCCCAGTCATATGACCCTCTCTCCTTTCAGTGTATATGCTCCATCACAGGAATGGTGAGATGGATTTGTCTATAAACCAAGAAACACTGAGACAAAAGAGCTGCACAGTCCCTAAACTTAAAAAGCACACTCGAGGAACTCGACAAAGCAACACAACGGATGAGGCGATCCAGTCTAGAAGACAATCAAGTTAACGGCTGAGCTATCAATGCAAACAAAAGGCGAGAGTGACCACCTCAGCATGGCTTTGGCCAGGTTAGAGCCAGAAATAGAAAAGACGAGCAGCACACTGAAAGAGAAAGAGCCCGGGGTCAGCTATAATGAGCTGTGAATGTGAGCATCTGACCAATCCTGTTTAATGGACTTCATCCCTGGAAAGGTTTCTGTCCTGCCCTGCACCGGTGTTTTCGTGTGTTCACTTAGGGTCTGGGTCAGGAGGCTGAGAGGACTCTGTGACCCTGAAATGAGCTCTCGAAGTCAGTGGAGACCCCTGCTGATAGGACAGACCTCCTTTTATACTTTAATCTGCCAGCACGAGGGATCAATATGGTGACTATTGGTGTCAGGATTGTGTGCAGGAGTAAGTGGTCGAGCCATTTTAGACGTATCATGGGGGGTTGGCGCACCATGACAAAAGCACAGCCCGCTGCCACCACTGGCCACAATGACCGGTGGGACACTGGCACACCAGCAGCTAACCTACTTAACATTCATTAGTGTCAGAGAGGTGGACAGATGTGCCGGGTGTTACGGATCTTCCCTCTCATGTTCTCGCCATGGGGCTCATTCAGCAGCATTTGACGTGTCTTTCATTTGG